CCTATACTCTCCCAACCTCTGGTAACCAGTGTGTTACAAGAATTGTTAGGGTCACAACCTGTGTTCTGGAACTCCTAACAAGCAACATTCAGCCAACTGTCTTCAATAAACCAATTAAAGATACAAATTAGTAGTGAAAGACAAAAGAAGGTGCTGTATTCCATGCGGCCACGTTGGGAAGAGAGACCAAGCAGTCCAGTGCACTACCCCCTTGCCTCCCCAAGTCTGCCTTCGGGGTCCTGACATCAGGTTTAGGTTTAAGCTGAGGGCCATGGTTATGCACAGCTCAGCAGTGTCAGCCCTACCCATCACTAACCCATCACTGCCTCAGCTTTGGTTTCCTCTGCAAGGTGGCCTGACAAGTTGTAAATAGCCTTCTGGGAGACAATTCCCCTCTGGCTGCTCCAAGGCTTCAACCTTTTTCTTCTCTCAGCATGAAAATTCTAATTTCTTGGGGTCCATTGTTTCATAGTCTGATAGCCAAAGTGAGGGCCAAGTGTATTTTATAATATCCTCATCCCTAGCAGGCTGGTTGTGAGTATTCTGCTCCCAGTTTTAGAAGGAAAAAAAAGATTTATTTATTTATTTATTGTATGTACATGTACCTGTGTGAGTTTTACGTGCTATGGAGGTGACTGCAGAGGCTGGAATTAGAGGCAGATGTGAGCCATCTGATATGGGTGCTGGGAACCAAACCGGGGTCCTCTGAAAGAACACCCAGTGCTCTTAAGCCCTGAGCCGTGTCTCTAGGCCCCCTCTACTCTTGATTTTTACAAGATTATTTCTTTTAGATTGTACATATGCTTGAGATCATATAGTATTTTTGATGTAATATCTTTGAGGGCCACAGAGCCTTTCTTGGCTCTAATAAGCTTAACCCAGGGTACAGCACGATCAACAGTCAGCATGTGAATGGCAAGGGGGCAGAGACCAAGCTCTACCTGATCACCCTCAGAAGCCTAAGGAGTTCTCTTAGAATTTTAGGGATCTTGATGCAGGCTAATCCAGGATTTGTGGCTTTGATGCTGAAAAATATAAGACTAGTCAGAGAAATGGGGCAAATTGGAAATTTGGGTTAAGAGAAAGAGGCACTTCCTGAGTTCATCACTCTCAAGTCCAGCCTTGGCAGACAAAAGAAAAATGAGGAGGAGCCCAATGGAAGCTCTCATCAAGAAATTCCAATGGACTCTGATATGAACATTTGAAATTTGCTCTGTTCTGACTTTTTTCTGGTTCCCTATCTAGAACTTGTAATGCTAACTACTCTTGCCTTTACTTCTCCTTCAAATCCCCTATTCACCAGTCAAGGACTTTATTTTCTCCCTACAGATAAGAGTTATGCAATTTGGGAGTCCTTTAGATAGACCCACCGAAGGGGTACTCCAAATGCCACAGCATGGAAGAAGCCAGAGCGGTTTGCATCCGGATTCCTTATTGGCAATTTGAGTAACTCCTTCAGAGGATGGTGTGATAAGAATAGGAGGTAGGAATTGTCTTGGCAGTTAGGGTAAAAAGACCCCAAAGAAAAGTAGCCAGTTTCTTGGCTAAAAATCAAAATGTCCTTGGGCTTCTTAACAACATACTCTGTTCCAAAAGCCAAAAATGCCAAAAGTATTTGGGAGCTCTTATCTAATCCCTAAAAGATTTTAGGGATTCAGAGGGGGGAATATTAGAGTAGCAAAATGCCCCATTAAAATAAAGAGTACACAAAGTTGTTCAGGAAAAAGTGATGGGGACATATGGGAGGAGTGGGAGGGGAGGGAGCGGGCATGGATTTCATCAAAACACCTTATATGCATGTATGAAATTCTCAATAAATTTTTTAAGTTATAAAAAAGAGAGAAAGAAGCACTGAAGAAAGTAAGGCGCATTCAAATGGGGATCCATGCATCCCAGGGGAGAGCAGAGGAAGGGAGTCAGACATCCAAGTGTAGACACAGGCTCCTCAAGGGAGAGTCAGTTAATTGTCTTTGTATTAACCTTGTATAGCATTTTGGTGGCTCTCAAGTTACATCTCAAAAGGTTACTAAGAAACATTTTTTCTTTTATTTTTTTTCTCTTTTGATAAGTAAGATAAATAAGGTCGGCCCAGAGATGCCTTGGATGGAGTTAGAAAGGGATTATCTAACCTCGTCTAGGGTTAGACAATGCTTAGATGGAGTTAGAAAGGGATTGTCTAACCTCGTCTAGGGTTAGACATGCTTAGATGGAGTTAGAAAGGGATTGTCTAACCCTTTCTAGGGTTTAGACAAGGGGTTTAGCACTTGTCCTTTCCCTAAATGGGGGCTCTAGTGAGATTCCTTGAGATCCGTAGGTTTATGCTGGGGATAAAAGAGCTTTAAGCAGTTGGTAATCATTCTGAAATTCTTTCTTCTCTGCTGGCAAAGTCCTCAACTAGATTCCAGGGCGAGGAGCTCCTGTTCCTTCTCATGTCCCCCAAATTTCTTCTGCCTTGAGTACCCATGGCTCTCAAATTCCTTATCTCACATCGATGAAGAATAAGAATATGAACAAAGGAGCAAAGTGAAAGCAAATTTATTAAGTAAACTCAAGAAAAACTCCCAGTGATTATCTGAGAGGGATGCTCCATGTTCAGCCCTGTATAGAGAATGAAGGAAGAACTATTGAGATTGACCATCCTTATTATTGTTTGTTTGTTTGTTTGTTTGTTTATTTGTTTATTTGTGTGTGCGTGTTTGTGTGTATGTATAGGCGCTTGTGTGCCACAGTGCATGTGTGATAGTCAGAGGACAACTTGGGGGAGTCACCTCTCTCCTCCCATCATATGGGTCCCAGAGATTGAACTTAGATCATCCATTAGGCCTGGTGGCAGGCACCTTTACCTGCTGAGTCATCATCTCACCAGCCCTGAGACTGATCATTCTTTGAGCACATCATAGATCAAATTGGGGTGAGCATCCCCAGAAAAAGAGGCAATCATGCATTGCTCATCCAGTCAGGGAGCAATCATGTACCATGGTCACTTTGTCCCCCTCCCCCAACTCATTTCACTCTTTTTGTAGCTATTGATTGAACCACATCCCTTTCTTGTTTGTGGGCTATGTGACTACCTTATGATTCAACATAGGCCCTTGCCCTCACTTCCTGGATGAGCTAAGTCCTGTCTCACTTCTTTTAGTGTGACTGGTTTATTTTCCTTAACACAGTATCTTTCAGTTCCATCCATGTTGTCACAAATGACAGCATATCATTCTTTTATGGCTTAACTGCATGCATGTGTGTAAGTGCACACGTATTGTTCAATGCTCTTGGAAGCCAGAAGAAGGCTTCAAATACCCTGGAACTGGAGCTATGACAATTTTTAGCTGCCATGTGGGTGCTGGGAATCAAACCCAGGTCCTCTGCAAGACCAACCAGTGCTCTTAACCACTGAGCCAGCTCTCTAGCCCCATACCATATTTTCTTTATTCATTCATCCACCGATGGACACTTTAGGTTTCCATTTCTTACGTCTAGTGCTGCAGTGAACATGGGAGTTTGGACGCCTCTTTCACAGACTGATTTCATATTCTTTAGACATATACCCAAAATCAGATTACTGGATCACATGGCAGTTCCATTTTTTATTTTTGAGCACCTACCACACTGCTTTTCACAAGGGCTATACAAATTTGCATTCCTGTCATGGTATAGGAGTTTTCTTTTCTACACATCTTGACCCACACTTGTTATCTCAGTGTGGTTTTGGTTTACCTGATAATTTGATGTTGAGGATTTTCCCATATACATGTTAGCTATTTGTCTTTTTTTGATAACTATCTAGTTAGCTGTATTGACTATTTAAAATCAGATTATGTTAATGCTGTTGAGTTGAATTCTGTATATGTTCTAGGTAGTAACCCTTATTGGATACATAGTTTGCAAATATTTCCTCCCATTCTGTGAGTTGTTTCTTCACTTTGATGTGCAAACACTTTTAGTTTAATACAATCTCATTTGCTTGTTTTTCACTTGTTTCCTGCTTTGAGAATCTTATCCTACTTTGAACAAAGTTATGATTGAACTTGTACAATCAGGCTAATCTAGAGCAAATCTGTGCTTTTAGAGATTCACTATCCCCCTCCAAATGTTTCTATTAGATAAACAGAAGCAAAGAATAAATGTAGAGAGTTGGATCTTAGTTGTATTGCCCTAGATTTGGTGTAAAACAATAGAAACAGTTATGGATCAGAAATTTGCCTGGTTACACACTTAAGACATTTATCCATATGAACTAATGAAGGCCTTAGAAAACGAAGTAATGCCCCAGTATATATGACACAAAAGCAAAGAGAAAAGGTGAGTTGCAACTGGAAAGGACAAACATGAACACAGAACAGCTTGGTTTCTCTTATGAAAATGGAAATATTTTTCTGGTTTAAAAGGTTATATAGAGAGATGGAGGCAGGAGGACCACATGATGCCCTGTCTCAAAACAGCAAAAACAGTCAAGAATAAAAAGTAATGCTAGCTGGGCATGGTGGCGCACGCCTTTAATCCCAGCACTCGGAAGGCAGAGGCAGGTGGATCCTTGTGAGTTCAAGGCCAGCCTGGTCTACATAGTGAGTTCAGGTCAGCTGGGGCTACAGGGAGCCCCTGTCCAAAAAAAAAAAAAAAAAAAAAAAAGAAAAGGGAATACTAAAATGGGAATAGTATGAAAACCACAATTTGGATCTCTCTCGAGTCTAACCATGTAAAGCTAGCTGTTATTAATTTTTCTATGTGTACCTCCAGTCTTTTTTCTTATGTGCTTATATATCCTTTAAATAAAATTTCAAGCCTGTATTATACATTAGTCTAACCTTTCTTCCTATTAATATGTCATAAACAGTTTCTCATGGTAGTGAATATAACATGATTTTTCATTGCTGCAATATATTCTATCATGTATAACAAACCTCTGTTTAACCTCCCCATTGTGTCAACGTTTTATTGTGCAGATATGCAACAGCCTGGATACTAAGGAAAGAGTGTCTCATGTCCTCCTCTTTTTCCCCCAGCTTTGGAACTCTCTCTTCCATCAGACCTCTGTTACTATAATCCTCTGAGTGTCATCTCAGGACCTTGGTCACCCTCATGGCACAATGGCCCACCCTCAGGAACACCAGAGCAGCTCTTCTCCACGCCTTCCCTTGAATGAAAACAGAGCCTTCAGTGGGTTACAAGGTGAACTTACAGCTATGGGGAACCACCCTTCACCGAAGCCCCTCGAGAACCAGCAGGAGAAGGTTGGGCAGACAGAGCTAACAGAGAACACGAACAGCCCCATCACTACAACAGTGCTGACCAGTGTAAGCGAAGATTCCAGGGACCAGTTTGAGAACAGTGTTCTTCAGCTGAGGGAACAGGATGAATCAGAGATGACTGTTTCTCCAGGGAACAGCAGCACTGTGGACAAAGGGAACACGGGCACAACTGAAGACGTCAAGATTCAGTTCAGCAGGTCAGGCAGTGGCAGTGGTGGGTTTCTGGAAGGACTATTTGGATGCCTGCGGCCTGTGTGGAACATCATTGGGAAGGCGTACTCCACTGATTACAAACTGCAGCAGCAAGGTAAGCCTTGGAAGATACTTTCTGCAGCACCATATCATCACGACCACAGCCACCATCACCTGTATGATCTTTAGCAAAGGGATAAATAATGAAGTCAGATGGCCATGCCATTTCAGTTCCCTATAGACTTTCTGAGTGGAAAAAAAATCATATTTGGGGTCTTTTTTAGTTTGAAGCAAAAATAGACTTTGTGGTCAACCAGTCCAATGGTATACAGAGTACATACATGAGATTTTAAAAAGAAATAGAACTACTGTTTATTTTATCTCATCACTTAAATTTTCTGTTTTCATGCATGTTTGAATATATTTAATATTTTAGTATGGATGTATAGATATATAATTTATGAATAATTCACATAATGGGTACATTTAAGTTTTTACTGATAATTTATATAGTCAAAAAGCCAAAGTTGGGCATTATGGTATGTGCTTATAGTCCCAGCTATTCAGGGACCAAGGCCAAAGGATTACTTGAGCTCAGTTGGAGGCCCATCCTAAGCAACATAGTGAGACCACCATCTGACAAACAGAAAATAAGTCTGATGGCCCACTGGACTAGCTCAAAACCAGACAGACACCACATGTTAATACCCCTTAAGATTACAGGACAAGCCAGACTTTTAATCCCAGCACTTGGGAGGCAGAGGCAGGCAGATCTCTGTGAGTTCAAGGCCAGCCTCATCTACATAGTGAGTTCCAGGACAGCTGGGGCTACAGGGAGACTCCGTCTCAAAAAGACAAAAAAAATAGTGAGTTTGAAATTTCTGTCATTGTGTAACATGTACATTCATGTATTCCAATCTGATGTAAAAGAAATAAATAATCTTGATGTTGTAAATAATTTTATACTCTAAAAGAACTTTTTTCTGAGAACAAATTTATGAAATTTGGAAATATAGTCAAGCTCCCCACCAAAAGTTAAAATCATCTGTCATCCTCATTTTGGGAAACTGGTGTTTTAAGACCATATCAAGGGGGCTGAGGAGACGGTTCAGTGATTAAGAGCACTGGCTGCTCTTGCAGAGGATCCAGGTTGGGTTCCCAGCATCCACATGGCAGCTAACAACCATCAGTAACTTTAGTTCTAGGGGAATCTGTCTCCCTCTTCTGACCTGGGCATTGCATGCACAGATTCCCTTACATGCATGCAGGCAATACACTCAAACACATAAAATTAAAATAATAGATAAAGTATTTTTTTAAAAGAGGATATCAGGATAAGTATGATGATTCATACCTAATCCTAGTGCTCAAGAGGCTGAAGGAGGAGAATTGTGAATTCAAAGCTATCTCAGTCTATAAAGTGAGTTGTAGACCAGACTGGACTGTATAATGAGACACTATCATAAAAGTAGAAGGGAGGAAGGAAAGAGGGAGGGAAGGAAGGAAGGAAGGAAGGAAGGAAGGAAGGAAGGAGGGAGGGAGGGAGGGAGGGAGGGAAGGAAGGAAGGAAAAAGGGAAGGAAGGAAGGAAGGAGGGAAGTGGGAAAAAATGAAAGCTCACTCTCAACTTAGATAGATAAAATGACAAACTAAAGCCATCTGCTAATGTTAAACTTTCAAGGAAGGAAGGAAGGAAGGAAGGAAGGAAGGAAGGAAGGAAGGAGTTGTCTCTGCTTCACAGCTTGATGTTTACAGAAGGCAGAGTATCCACTCCATCAGACCAAGTGCTGAGCAGCCGGTGCCTACCTCCCTGCACCTCTGCCCTGTGCCACAGGGCCCTGGGTTACACCTGCTGCAGAGAGTTTTTTTAATAGAGTCATGAGCCAAGCTTAGTACCTCATGCCAATAATATACCAGCTACTCAGGATCTTGAGGCAAGAAAATCGAAATTTAGGGTTCTCCTGAGCCATGATAATCATTTCAAGGCTAGCCTAGGCAAGTTAGTAAGACCCTTTCTCAGAATGAAAGACACAAAAGTGCTAGGGGTGTAGCTCAGTGGTACATCTCTTAAGTAATATGTCTAAGGCCTTGCGTCCAATCTCCAGTACTGGAAAAAAAAAAACTCCTTTTGCTGATTTTGCAACTTTCTTACTTCATGTTGTGAAGATTTAACATTTCTGAAATGTAACTCTTCATTATTTATTTATTATTGTTTTGGGCAGTGCTGGGAATCAAACCCAGGGCCTTGAATATGCTAGACAAGTACTCTACTAATGAGATATACTCCTGATCCCTTCAGCATCATTTTTATTGGTTGCCTAATATGTAACTACCTAAATATGCTGATAATTTATTTAAGTAATCCCTATGGCTTGACATTTGTTTGTATTTTTAGTGGTTATTGTTAAGGTTCAGATAGCCCCGCCCCCTCACCAACAGGGTCTGAAGGACTTCTCAAGCTCCTGAGAAAAGGGAACCGAGCTGATAAGCACCCTGGTCTTTGAAGTCAAAAGAAGCAGACTTTCTCCACTGTTTGGCCAACACAGCAGGTTTCCCCTTTGATCTCTAAAGAGGACAGGTTTTAACAGTCCCGCTCTCCCACCCCCACCCCCAACTTTAAAAAAAAAATACATCTTCCTGCTTTCTGCTAGAAGCAGAAGCCTCCCCCTTAAAAAGACCCCAGCTCACGACCCGGGTAGACATTTTCCCTGCCCTGAAGGGAATCTGTCCCATGTGTTCCTTTGCTAATAAACTCTATTCTGATGGAATTTTATGTGTCCTGGTGCTTTCTCCTGATCAACTGGATTCATCCATAGGCTACTGTTTATCTATCAGTTATGAATACATTACACTGAATGTGTATCTGTTCCTTTCTTACTTTTTTATTATTTATCTATTTATTTATGTGCCAGTATGTACATACTGGGGACTGGGGGTGGGGGGGGGCAGCAAATGGAGATCAGAGGACCACTTGCAGGAGTTGGTTCTTTCTGGCCATGTGAATCCAGGGGACTGAATTTGGTTGTTTGATTTGGTGGCAGGTGCCTTTATCTGCTGAGCTGTCATGCCAGCCATTATTTTTGCATGTATATTTGATGAGTCGTTGGATAATTTCCTAGAATAGTTGTGTTCCAAAATTTTTCTTTTCAGAAATATTTTTAGGGAGCCCAGTGTGGTGGTGAATAGGTGGAGGTCAAGGTCAGCCTGGTCTACATAGTGAGTTCCAGGCCACCTTGGAGACCTTGACTCAAAAGTAATAAATAAATAAACAAATAAATAAATAAATATTGTTCTTTTCAGTGAGATAGCTCAGTGTTTCAAGGTGCCTGTCCCCAAGCCTGATTTGGATGCTCAGAACCCACATGGGAAGAGAAAACCCACTCCCCACAAGTTATCATCTGATCTCCACATGCCCACCATGGAATGCATGTATGCAGAGCATACACAAATAAATAAATAAATAAGTAATAAATAAATAAATAATGTAAAAGAAATTGTTTTGAGGCCTGAAGATATAGCTCAGTAGTAGAATGCTTGCCTATATGCACAAGGCCTGGGGTATTTGTCTGTAAATATAAGGATACATATTTTGCACATAGTAAGAAATCACATTAGTCTAGCAATGTGAGAGATTTCCAGTTTTCTCTAAGATCTATGACCAGTCTGGCCATGTGTATTAGGTTATGTTACAGTACCACACTTGAGTTTCCTCCCTTTGAGTGGGCTTTTAGTCCACTCAGGTAGCTGTTGATTGCCCCCAAGATAAAAGTGCCACTACTGCTACACCAATGGGGTATGCTGTGCTGGCCATCGATGTGGTTATTTGGTCTTGAAGCTGGTTCTGGATCATCCGTTGATGTTTTCCCGTGGCACTTTCATAACATTCTCCAAAGCTATGAGAGCTCTCCTGCAGGGGAAGGGGCTTCCAGGTCAGTTGCAGCTCTATTTCTCCAAATCCTGTCTGACGTATGTTCTGTCTTCAGCAGTCGGGTCTTACCTTCAAGTTCTGGGAGGCCATCAGGGCTGTGGCAATAGCCCAAGTAATTCTGGGAGTCTCTTGGACCACCCTGACCAACAACTCAAAGGAAGTATCTCCTGTCTGGCACTGTTTTTTGTTATGTAGCCTTTAGCTATATACATGGACTCATGTAGAGATAATGTATGTATAATTTGTCAGTAGGTTGTTGGACTAATATGGTTCCCTCCGTTTTTTTTTAAACTATCTAGGCTTTATTTATCTCTCTCACTGTCTAACCCTTCCACCATGGTTTCCCCATTTAAAGTGCCCCCATTTTCCCCATTTCTCCCTTGACAATACCCTTCTATGGTCCCATCTCTCTTGAGTTCCTTCTTTCTCTTTACCCCCCAAGGTTTCTTGTTTAAGCCTCTCTCCCCCTCCCATTTAAATAACCCCATTTTAATCTATATCTCCCTTAGTAACACCTGTTTCCTACTGTTCTTCTCTCTCAGGTTCCTTCTTTTCCTTTATCTCCCTGTTTTGTTTCCATTATCCTGGTTCCTGTAGTTATGTCTGGATACATACTCACTTATCAGGGTTTGGTGCTAGGATCCACATATGAGGGAGAACATACAACTCTTTTTTTTTTTCCTGAGTCTGTGTTACTTCACTTAGTATAACAGTTTCTAGTTCCATCCATTTACCTGCAAATTTCATGATTTCATCTGTCCTAGTTTGTTCTTCATTGCTGTGACAAAACACTCAGACCACTACCAACTTGGGGAGGAAAGGGTTTATTTGTCTTAAATCTCCCGGGTCACAGTTCATCAGGGAGCCCAAGGTAGGAACTCAGGGCAGGAACCTGGAGGCAGGAGCTGGAGCACAAGCCATGGAGGAGCATTGCTTACTGGCTTACTCCCCTGGCCCCTGCTCAGCTGCTTTCTTATGCAACACAGGCCCACCTGCCCAGGGGTGGCACTACCCACAATGGGCTGGGCCCTCCCACATCACTCATCAAGAAGATGCCCCTCAGACGTGGCCACAGGCCAGTCCAATAGAGGTAATTCCCCAGTTGAGGCTCCCTCAACCCAGGTGTGTCAAGTTGACACTAAAGCTATCCAGCAGCATTTCCCTAATTACTAGTGATGTTGAACACTT